AGCCTTTTAAGCCTGAAATGGCGCTGTGGCTGCTGGCTCCACCCACTTCAGCTTCCCAACATGGCAGTGGTACGTTTTCTGCCAGCTCTGGGAGCCATCAACTCTCAGAAATAGTGGGTCTATGCTTCTTATCAAAGCAGCGTGTAGCCCAGAAACCTCTTTTTGTTTTGTACTAGCAAAGGCTAAATCCACCATGTAGCTTAATGTACCACTTGCAAAGGCCTCATTCCTGCCATACTGCAGGTCAAGCACACACGCCAGGAACCCGCCAGTAGCTCAAACCTGCAGGCTGCCGCTCATTTGAGAGAGACAATTAGGGAGCTGTTTTTAGCTCCGTTTTAGAACCTTTTCTCAGGTTTTAGGTGGAAACTCTTGCCCTCTCGTTGGGCGCCATTTGTTGCCGGAGGGCGGCCTCTTCCCTGTGCCTCCCCACATACGTTGCTGTGTCTGTGGACATTTTCTGCATTGGGTTGTGCTTAGGACAGGAAGCCTCACAGCCCAGGATTCTAGAGTGGGCAGGTTTCCACACTGGGTTCAGTGTGGGAGAGGACATTCGTGTTGAGATAGACGGACCAGCAGAGAGCATGCCGGGAACGGCACAAGGTGGTATTTCTCCCACATGGAGCTGAAGCCCTCGTGGTTACATAGGGTATGTTAGGTCGGATAATCACCTTTTTCCTCTCAGAATTTGAGTACTTAGCCGTTCATTGCTGTTTTCTGGCTTTGAAAATATGTTGTCTGTTTTCCACATGTACTTTTCCGCTTTCCAGTAAAGAATGAGCTATGTTATGTTGTGTGTGTGTGTGTGTGTGTGTGTGTGTGTGTGTGTGTGTGTGTGTGTGATTCAAGAGTAAACTCAGGGGTCTGGTATCTGGCCTGAGGCAGCACACCAAGGCAGACGTTCGGTAATCAGTGTAAGAACATAGTTAGGAAGGTGTTCTATCCCATGAAGGTAGGGGAGAAGGCAGTCATGGGGAGACATCCCCAACAGCTGGGTGGGGGGTGGGAAAGAGGGGCAGGCAGTTTGAAGTTTTAGCTTGGAGAACTTTTTCATAGGCATGTACTATGGATCATATTATTTTCATAAATTCTTACCCATGTTTCTGTCTTTTATCATCTCTTGAGTATGGACTAATGTAAGTTTGTCTTACATGATGTATACTTTAAGGTTTGTTTCTGAAGTGCTTGTAAAATGCCCTTCTAGAAGGTGGCATATAATTATTACTTATTTTAAATTATAATAGAAGAAACTTGTGCTCTTTCAAATTTCAACATTTTTAGTGCTTTTTATGCAGGAATTTTTTTTCTACATTGTGAAGTTTGACAAATAATTAACTTTGTACATGTTTTCTTTAATGAATGTTTAGCTCATGCCTGGGTATTGAATATAAGATTTAAACCTCTCTCTGTTCTTGACCAGTTGGCCTCATTGCTTTGGGCCTTTGATGGTGTAGTACGTGGTGGCAGTAATGTGTGTGGAGGAGACGCATTCATGTCATGGGTGCTTTGTGTGGTGTGGAGAGGTCCCACTGTCTGCTCTGAAGGGACTTCCCCAGGGATTAACTTCTTCCCACTAGGACCCACCTCTTAAATGTGCTCCCACCTCCCAGTAATGCCACAGGCTGGGGAACCAGCTGTGAACATGTGGCCGCTGGGGACAGGCATCCAGGAGTGGCAGTGCATTCCCTATTTGGTTACTGGGAGTCATTTTTGAAAGTGGCAATGTGACATTTTAGTGTGTAAACATAGCTCTCATCTCAAAAGGAAGAGAGATAGCTTATGCTTGAGTCAAATGTGAGTGACGCTGTGAACAGCATGTATTCAGGTTGCCCCAAGAGACATGCTCACTGTGGATTGGTCACATGAGATTCTGTTAGTTACAGCACAAAGAAGGTCATAAATCAGAGTGTTTACCAAATGCGTTGCTGGGAACCACAGGCAGACAGGTCACAGAAAATCTGCCGTAGAT